ATATTTATCAAAATGTATATTAAKAATCTACTAAATGTCTGTAATAATTAACTCCTGACTCGTCCACTGTTGGAAAACATGTAAAAATCATATCATCTGCTTAAAGTATTTTTATGAATATTTTATAATGCTAAACCAACGAGAAAATTATCCGAATCGATAAAATGTTGATAACATAATTTTTAGAAAATCATAGACTGTGCCTCATTGCTTCAGTCTCTGCAATCGTTATTCACAGATTTATAATTAACATTTATTGTATATAAGATTCCCAGTATTCGCTCTCCAGAGGCAAAGTTTTATGCGTGCCCGATAAGATAAGCTAGTCAACAAAATAAAGATACAAATTAAAATTCAATAAAATGCAAATTAAGACTATTTTAGCGACACTCTTATACCATGAATACATTTTTAGATTATCTTAAAATTTYGAAGGAGGGCTGCAGATCACTCAGACCCCACGAATAAGCTCCTTACTGCAATCTCTCTATCACAAGACCACATCAGCCACCCACGCCATGTCCAGATAATCCATCTACCAGAGACCAACACAAAGTGAATAATATAACCGATTAAATCTTATAGGAGAAGTGAAAAAAAATCCAATGAAAATTTTATTAAATTACATTTTAACTATAATTTGATACTTTCACATATTATAAAATGAATAYAATACATACATATTAAATACACGATAATAATTGTGACACATTTGATATGCGATAAAATGTGTTGTTTATAATGTATAGTATATGTCATATTATGCATGATTAAAAATCAGTAATAACTTACAGAAAAGTTTATTCTGAAACTTTAGTCTTATATCCAAAGCGGTGAGTCTTTTAATCGAATTTTTGTTTTTGGACATTTCYGAACTACTTCARCCTATTTTGAGTTTAACAAGCGACTGAATTTTATATATCGTTATGACACGAATTTTTTAAGCGGCGTTTACCGAATCAATATTATTAATATCTTTGGTAGGTATACGACAATGTGCATCGATAAGCCTTACTACTAATATTCCAAACCCTAGGTCTATGATTGAACGAATTATAATACCACCAMGGAAGCCTGTAATTTAATAATAATATCTCGTTTAATCAAATACTTTTCGTTCTCGTTTTGATATCGAACGAGATTTTTTCTTGCACTGTAKATCAAGCAAACAGAATTAAACCATAATCGGCTGTGGTCGAATGAGAATCAATTAGCCGTACRGAGGACGTGAACACTCAGACACACGTATATATAGGTGGGTATAATACGATAGACGCCTTACTATAAGTACAAMATTTCGTGTGTTATTAAATACTGTGAATATGGTTACCACAGACTGTCGACCAAAATATGAACATGGTATTCAGAAACTGCTGGAAATGCACCAATTATGTCATCATCATATATAATATAGCGTCAGCGCGTTGTCGATTCGAATTGACCTTTTTTGGTACCTGTCAATACCTAATTGACCACATTTTAATTGGGGTCACAATCAAAGTGGTTATATTACGTAAACATCACGAAACACGATACCTAGGGTCCACGAGCACATATTTTCATTCATCTACCTATATACCAAGACATGGAGGTTAATTCTCTAACCACGTTCACCCCTGTTGTATCCTTTGATAATATTATGTATAATATGACATTGAATAATAAAAAAAATGCTTTTAAATTTTTAAATACATGAATGGATCATAGTAACTTCAAACACTGATTTATTATGATGTATTTAAAATATTCAAAAATATCATAATTTGATTAAACTTACCTAAGAGTACTTGAATAAACTGATCCATGGTGAATTTATGATTTGGGTACCATGGAATAATATGACATTGAAAAACGTCCATGTAAGTCGAACCCTTTTAAAAACCACTGGATAAATCAGTGTTAGCATGATGGTTTGCCGTAAAATCTCTCGTTGGTAWATAATATTATGTATTACACCGATCGTTATTTTAACAGGTGTACTATTGGATCGCTTAAACTACGAACGTCTCCTACCAAAACCAATAAATGTGCGGAAATAGTAATAACTTATAATAAACAAGCGCTGTAACGAGGTMGGGGATACCTTTTTGCGATATTAGTCGTCCTTTTGGAAAAGATTTGTATTCTTTATCATATGGATATGATTCCCGTATCTGAGCATTTGATCACTTGTATGTGAAGTTTTTATCAATAAAAAACTAACACGTTTGGTTTGAAAATTTAGAAAAATTAGTTTAAAAAAATATATTTAAAATAGTATTTTATCAAATTGAAAGATGACTGTTAAAAGTTTTGAATCAATTAGTTTACTAGAGTGACACTACCAAACTGTCTATCGTGTGTAATTTCAATAATAAGTAAAAATTTGGGCAATGTCGAATAAACATATTAAGTGTGAATATTTTTTGTTGGTCAATTCACAGCAAGTATATAATTTATTTACAGAGTATAACAAATGTTACAAAACATTTTAAAATTAACATTCATCGATAAATGACTTTGATCGTGTAGTTATACGTGAAATGGGATATCGGGATACGCGTACAATTCWTMTTAAACATGTACACAAAAATTCTAATACTATATAGGTCATGAGTAAAAAACACACTTAAAAATTAATAATTATTGTTGTTGTTCAACGCGCACCGTCATAAAGCATATTACTATTATTTTATACACATACGTTATAATAAAAAATATGTATTTACGCACTGAGAATTGCAKTGTAGGTATAACTACTATTACATTCAAARAGTTATGAGAACCTTTTCTATTGTCCAACTGCCTCCACCTATTACGCCACCGTTTTCATATTTTCGAGCTTCGTACCAAACACATTTTATCTAGGTACGTAAATCATATTTTTATAGTTTATATTATTAAGATGGTTCAATATAATAGCGCCGTTATAATAATTATGCATTTAAAGATGGACAAAATACAGTATAATGTTCAAGCAATTACTCAAAAAACTATTATGGTGCGCAGAACTCGCAAACGTAATAATATTTCAGCCCAACATTTTTAGTAACCCGTTTAGTCAAACAGTACGAAAATAAATCATCACGATTTTATATTAGAATATCACAAAACTAAGCGTATAATAATATATACATATTGTTTTTAATTATATTTCTTGCCGAATCCTAGTTGAATTTATTCATTTAGTTTTCAATTTTAGGCGTCTTATAGTATCACATTTGTCACATTATTTCGAGTATATTTTGATAAAATACATAACATTTATGCGAATTATATTCGTACACTAACGGATTAGTTTTAAATTATAATAAATTTTCGTATACGTATGATATTTCTACTCGACTATTCGTTTATTTTGYGAGTAAAAATACCACTAATAACTCGTTTCAAATATTAGTATAACATTATTTATTGTTGATATTATTATTAGAATAAATGATTTTGTTAATTTAATTAAAATATTCATAACTTACGKTTTAAATAATAATAATTATTATTTATTACAATCCGAGATGTAATTAATGTATAGCAGAATGTTGAAGTTTATTTTATAATTTATTGGTATAACACCAAAACCAAAAGATACTTACTTTTTAAAAATCAACATGCAGTTTATTTCATCTTTAAAATTTCAACGTTTTACTGAATTCTATAAGTAAAAAAATCTTATTYGAAACAGTATTTGTTAATTTTCTAGAAAAAAATCTACTAATAAATTATAAGATTTCACTGTCACCTTAGTCAATATGTATTAGAGCTCTGTTAATTACATAATTATAATCAATTTTCATTTCAAAACTAATAAAATAAAATTAACGTTTATACTTTAATGAATTTAATATGCCCACCTATATTGWWGTTGTAATACAAATATTGAGATACTGAATAAAAATCGATTAAGTTAAATACAGCAGTTTACATTGTTCACAAAAATAAATTTAACATTTAAACTAATATATATATTTTAATCGAWTATTAATTATTGCTCAACAAATTAAACAACATAGTCATTTAAATTTGAAATCGAAATTACGAAAAACAAAATGTATCATATTTTAAACATTAGTAATCATACTTATGTGTAATGCTTTTTCTTTTTTTCGTTCATTGGTAATTTACTAAAAAAATTTCATAAATTAACAAAAAAATGTTTAGTCTATTTAAGAACATTAAGAAATCATGATAAGGATGATAAACATTCGATAATAATAACGACAAATATTTATACTCTTATTAATGGCAGCCGGCAGTTAAGTTTATACCCTTAAATAATTTATAGGTACCTACATGTTTTCGAAAGTGACACGTAAGTACACAAACATAATATTATTTATGTACAAATTATATTAATTTATTAATTTATTATTTTCTTGCTTCATCCTCAAAAATCTTACACATGCTATAAAATTATTTTAGTACCTGTGTCAATAACTTCCAAATTAAAATAATCGATTTGTTTTAAAACTTGGTATTTGTAAGTTTTATAGAAATTAAACTTTGTCAGTAACTTTGTCAAACAAAACTTTGAGTACATTTGTATCACCTACGAGTGCATAAATAAAACAAAATAAGCCAAAAGTTTTTGAAATGCGTGTAATTCTCTTGTATGAAAAAATAAAACGTTGATAACAATAMAATATTATATTTCTTTCAGTGATACACAAACGACAGTAATCTACGCAAGGATGTACCTAAATTGACTATCCAGAGCACCGTCTTATCGTAAGAAGAATAACACAACAACAATAACAACACAATATGATTATAATATGATTATATATGCACCGATGGTTTATTCAATACAAACATTAAATCATAACAAACAGCATTGGAATCTTCTCTGAAGTTTATATTAACTAAGTAATTTTTGGCTTCGATTATTCAAAATTCGAAGAGATAATTTATATAATAATATGTATTATTAATYAGTGTACATTTTTTAAATGGATATATATTATATTATACAATTTAATAATATTAATAAAGTCATAAAAATGTAACTTTATAATAACCGATATAATAGTCTATGGTTTATTTTTTTTTCTAAAATCTTTCTATATATACAACATAATACATAAATATTTATACGAAGATAGTTTTTGGATTCCAAAATAACGCGTCTTAAAAATGTTATAAATTTACATAAAACGAAAATCAACGAAATCACTAATGCGGTCGTTTATTTTGTATTCAGGTTTTGGATTTTTATATGGTTATCTCATCCATGCGCTGACCAATATCACAATCAATAAAAAATAAGAAGACGTGTGTGATGCACCTGAAACAAAAAAAAAAAAAAACATAATAACATTTAACTCGATCGATCAAGTATAACACTGCAACAATCGTAAAATAATTATCATATTGTATTTAATAATCACATCAGAAATCAGTTGTTTTCGCAATGCTAATATTAATATCGATTACATGAAAAATAACGGATTTTTAAATATCGCTATTAAATAACGTTCCATGCAGTACTTAAGCTATGGTCTGYACTAAGTTTTAATTCCACAACGTACCGTGTCGTTTTGCTAACTTCAGTATGTATTTAATCGTGAGTGGCCGGGATGGTGTTAAGCGCATTACAAGAGTCGAAAATATATACGGTTTTTTTCATCTTTARATGTGATTAAAATTCAAAATCTTTAATTATRGAAAGGATTATAGAAGCGGTGACACAAAGATCGAGATTGTGGATATGGTAAGCATACGGTAGTAATTGCCGGTACCTCGTGTACTGGCACTATGCTGATATGAAACTGAACTGTAATGGGCATCAAATACTAGGTATATTTTAATTTCAAAAAGATTTATCCAATCAGATCGTCGCGTTTATTTTCAGCGATTACATCATATGATATTATTATATACAATATCACATAATTTCCATTTTTAGGCTACATATTTATGATTATTATATAATTTCTCATAAAACTAATGTTAAAACTTGGAAACAAAACTATTTATTGTAAATGTAAACAGAGGTATAAAATACTTGTGTCAAAATGATTTTAAATCAATATAATAGTATATTGTTATATGTTTAACTATAGGTAACTACTTAAATAAATAATTAGTTTAAAATTATCCATTGCTGTAGTTGTAGTTATTTTTTTGTAACTGCATTATGTTACTGATACAATATTTTTAGGATATTGTACATAATGTAATTTATAGTAAAATAATAAAAATAAAAATAAAAATACAACTACTTTAATAAATTAAAAACCTAAAATGTAAATATAAATTTAAATTTAGAATAAAATAAATATTGAGTTTATACTTATGGTAATAAAAATTAATGAGAAAATTTAAAATTTATAAATTCCAAATTATTTTTTAAAGATAATAATATTAAATACTTTCTATCATTTTTTCAATCTTCATTTTTCTTTTTTAATTTTCCAATCAACAAATTTCTTTCATCTCTATAATAATAATTCTAAATTATTTACCAATTTATATTAAAAAACCTGTTAGCCGTTCAGAACTGTAATTAAAATTATTTTGAACATAATAAGAAGAAAACAGGTCTAGAGACATCAAAAAGAGTGGAACGTTTTATTTATTCAATTATTGTACATTATTATGAGGTGATTTTTATTATCAAGAAATTTATTTTATCATTATAATAGTCATTCTTACTTATTGACCTGTTTATATATAAAAAATTCCTTAGCCTTTAAAAACTGTAATTTAAGTTATTTTTAACACAAAAAGATCTTAGGCCTAGAGACGTAAAAAAGAATGAAACGTTATATTTATTTAATTAATGTACCTTATTATGACATAGCTAATATTAAGAAATGTATTTTATAATTTTAACAATCATTCTAACTTGTTCAATCATTTATATATATATATATATATATATATATATATAAAACGTGTTATCCTTTAAAAACTGCAGTTACATTTAAAAAAAAAATATTTTTAGTAAAAGCTCTCACGTCTATATACATAAAGAGTGAAACATTTTATTTATTAAATTCGAATATTTTATTTGCATATTGCGTATAGAAATATTTCAAACATTGAGGCTTTAACAAAACCAATTCTTTTTTCCCGAGGTTTTGTTGGATTAAAGTTTTTATTCATTTTAATTTAACCATAAAAAGTCATCTTCTAAAGGAATTGTTGTAGTTATCATTTTCCCTTTTTCCCCGTTAACTCGTTTATAATGTACATTTATTAAAAATAATTGGTTTTAGGACGTATATTTTTTGCGAATCGCACTTGACAAGCATGACAAAATCCTGAACATATTTTGCAATAATATCTTTGTGTGGTACAAAACGAAAAGAAAGAAAACATTTACAGGTAACGATTTTGATTATACTACAATTACACACATAACGTAAGACATAAAGGTAGTTATAATAATATATTAATATGTGTATGATGAATATTATTTTCAATCTACCATCAACAACTACATCATTTGTTTAACTAATGTTTCTCTTCTTATCCATCGTCAACCAGATATTTTACGTATCAAACTTTTGATCATATAATATGCAAACTACGTAATTATTATATTTTTTGGTTTACAATACATAAACTTTCGTGCAAGTTTATCATGCCACTGAAAAAAAATGTTATAAATAAAAATAACAATATGTGAACTTTAATGTCGAACTCGGTGCGATTATGATAACATTGAAAGTAAAATGCTATAATATAATATTTATACCTATATATACTTGATTGGAATGTAATGTGTTATGCTAGTGGTCAAATTAACAACTCCGTAATAATTAGGTATAACATTTTTCACATAAAAAAAAAAAATATTTAGTTTTGCGTATAGAAACACTGCTTTGATTATCCTTTCGTTATTTTTAATTATTATATTGGGTATACTAATTAGTATACGTACTATACTATATTGACCATTTAGAAATTCGGATATGCTATACCAACATGGTTGACTTGCTTCTTAACATTTTTACTCATACAATAATAGGTATTGTTTCTTTTCCCGCTTTTCAAGTTATTTTTACTCATACTGTATTGCTTGCGACTCTCTTATCGCCGACCACATCCGATTCAATATGCCAATGGAATAAAATATAAACTTTCAAACGAAAAGTTACAATATGTGAACTATATCAATGGACGGTTACGATAATAAAATAAACTCCGAAAGTAAAATTACATTTAATATTTACGCTGGATTAAATATTTTAATGTTTGACGCGTGCGGCCGAATTAATAACAGCAGCTGTGCGAAATGATTACGTTTTCATATGAAAAAAAGCACAAAAAATGTAGTTTTGCATCAAGAAACACTGCTGTAATTATCCTTATTATAATAATAAAAATATACACTTGTTTAAATAATAAAGCACATATGTATAATATGCATGTGTATGTAGGTATATATATAAATATGGGTTTGGAAGTTCCGACGAATATGCAAATGTCAGAATGGCATATTATACATATTTATATATTATGAATATGTATGTGTGACACGTTTTATGTTGCTACTGCAGTGGTGGTGGTTTAAGATTGTAAGAGAAATCATTTTTACCTTTTTATTTGCACCACCAACTTTTGCAGCTTGTGCATGTGTATTATGGTCGTGGTGAAAATAAAAATATATATCATTGTGAAACAATAAAATAGCTATAGTGTATTATACCTATATATATAAACAGATAGAGTGTTTCAGACTGTTACGGACGATAGGTTTTTGTCAATATAAAATACGTCGACGTCGTCGTGTTTTATACATTATCTCCGTGGGTACGATTCTACTATACACTATACCTGGGTATGTATAAAACTTACATAAAACACATGTGGGGAGTCATACGCGTCAAATGAGTATAGGTTTCGAAACGTTTTGGCGAAATGATGTTGCACATTTATTGTCTTTTTTTTTTCTTAATACGAAACGCGTTTTCTGCACGATATTTTATTAGTAGACACGTCGAAAGTGTCGTTAGACTTAAAAAGAAAAAGAAAAGAAAAGTGATGGAAAAAACCACACGAAATAAATGGCGATTATTACGCGTGCGTGTCGTTGCACACCATCACGTCGTTGCTACCTATACGTATTTATCTAGTTACATTACATACATATATTATATCATCCACATTAGGATTTTGTTTTTCCATTATTTCCTCCGTGGTTTCCCTGAAAATAACCCTTATGTTATTTCGTTTGACGTATATCCACGCGGCGTTGGGTCTGATAATTTTATATACTCCCGCAGGGATCGATTTTCGCAGTAAACGGCTATACGTAACGTAACTATACGTAACTATATATACTTTGGATAGGTATAGGTACCTGACACTCGGATATAATATTATGTATGCGCTCGAAGGTGGAAAAAAACTGCAAATTCTGCAGGATTATTTTTTGGGGGCTTTTCTCCATTGGGGTGTTTTTATATTTAAGAGAGGCCGTCACGATGAATCATTGCACTCTGAAAACGATTCTGCACAGAACCCGGTTTATCGCCTATTTGACGTTTCGTCGATTATTTTATCTATAAAGCGGTAGGTATACTGTGGTAAGGTTAAACGTATATAAAACACCACGTGAAATGTTCAATACATTATGTATTTAAAGCTCGCCAAGATTGAAAAGTGTTTTCAGCCCGTTCCGAGTGTGTGAAGGTGTAAAAAAAAGAAAAGAAACCTGTTGCTTATATCCGGCGTATGTAAACCGCTGGTTGGAGGATTTTCAAACACAATAAAACGTCTTCGTCTAAAAGGCCGTAAGGTATAAATATATTATTATCTGAGCGTGTGGCAAATACAAGGTGGTTCACAGATTTTTCCCGATTTCCCTTTTATAACACAATGCGAGGGAAATCACGATAATATACACAGTACACACTATATTTATTACTACCCACTACGAGTGGTTTCGCGTAGTACGCAGTATATTTCCCGCACTGCTTATATTGATTGTATTATAGTGCGCAGAGATGGTAAGTGACATTTTATAAAATTTTCAGAGCATGCATTTGAAATTGTTTACCCTCGTAAAGTACAGTGTTTATTTCAAAACTACGTTATCTAGTGAATTAAATATTAATCATACATGCACCAAATATGTACGTATATATAGTATCAAATAACAACATGGAAGCGACTGCTGATTAAGACACTGTACATCTCTAAAACATCAAGCTGCAAAGTTTAAGATAGTCTATCTTAAATAGTGGTATGAGGTATAGGAGTTATCTGACTCTTAAGTTATAAATTGTGTCTGTAATATTTAAGGATGTTGGCCACGTACGTAATCTATGATAACGTAATTATAAAACTATGGACTATAATTTAATCATAACATCCTATGTTACGAAATAATAAAAACGCAGTCAATCCGTTGATCACGGGCACCGTTCTCTTTTTTACCCCCATCTTTCTCAAGACCATGTTTAAGGCCACGTATTACCAGGTTTTACCTGATCACACAGTTTCTATAAGTTCTGATATATCAACCAAAATATATAAAATTATATCATACAACGTTTAACTAATATCAGAAAGAAATTTTACTCATCACACCTGTGCACTACAGATTTTATACTCTCGGACTACTCTCAGTGGTGGACTGCAACCACGGGACAACCACCCTAGCAGTTATCGTCAGAACAACGGTGAAAGTCGAGTGAGGTCACCGCCTCCCGCGATGACGGAATTTGCTGAGATAACTCTGGCAGCGGCGGTTGTGATGGGAGGGGGGGACGATGTCGCGCAGTTTTCGATTAGAGCAAAGTACGTATTCCTTTAGAATAGGTCGGCGATGTCGTTGTGTTACGGAGATGTCGGCCGAATTGCTGTGTGATATATGCGATAGCAGCAGCTCGCAAACACACGCACGCAAGTGCGGTATATTATACGTATTATGTTATATATATGTATAGTATAAAACAGACCATCGAGCAAATAAATTGCCTTCCACACGACTGGAGACCATTACATCACAACGACGCGAAGAATGTGGCCTTAATCCCCCGTAAACCCATTTTACACTACATTTTTCACCCGCTCGCTGGTCGAGAAAGTCTATGTGTGTATGTGTGGTTGTGTATATAAAGTATACACAGTCTCCTCCCTCATTTCCTTGCTATTCCTGCTTTCATAGACCGACAGATTTTTCTTGGCGCGCAGATTTTTATTTTCCCTTCCCCGACCCGGATTCCTACCCGGGAGACCGCGTCCACGCCACCGAGACCAATCGACAATGGGCATTATAMAATGTTTAGTAGCAACAAAAATATCAATCAAATAATCGGACGACGTTTTAATAATATTTTATACGTGTGTATGTATGCATTGTGCGCGCGTGTCGTTAAATTTACCTGTAGACGAAAACGTGCCCAGAATCGAAGCCAAGCGAGGTTTCTCCTCGTCCAGCACCGTCTCGGCCGACGTTTTGAACACTCCGTACAGCTCAGCCACGCACCGGATACGCATCTTGCCCACTTTGAAACTGTTCACCTCCAGCTTAAGTCCCACCGTGTTCGTCGACCGCCACGCGTCGTCTGATGCCGCCAGACCGGACGATGAAGACCGGCCGTAACTCGAATTCATCTGTAACCACATCACACCGCACATAACCGTAATGTTTATCATGGTATAATAATAACTAATAATAATAATAATAATAATTTAAACGTCGRTGTTATTTATTATGGCGTGTACGTTATCCATTAATAATTATATTATATACAGGTGCGGAATGTGTGATTATATCACGTGCCCGCCAATCGATCATCGATAGATGCCTACACGTCGCTGTGGCTGTCATTCGCGGTACTATTAATTACATGTCGGCGCTGTAATTATAACGCCACGTATCGTCTATAATATTACTACGGTGCCATAATATCGTGCTAGTCATAATACCACGTAATTGGTGTAACGGATACTTCCGTACACTGTAGGAAATATCATATCTTATACCACAGTGGTACGTGTTATTTATGGCAGACAATAACACTGCTATTACTGTGTTTATGACTACCTAAGAATAGGTTTTATTATTATTTTTTTTCGTTTGATTCAAAATTCATGTTAACATTATACATTTATACACAGAGAAACAACCGTACTACAACAATTCGTATATCGTTCTATAGTCTATACGATACTGTACGCATCGCTAATAAATATAATCTATATATTTACTTAACCTAGCCACAAAATTGATATTCACTAACAAAACTCTAGGAAATATATATAATTTCGAATTATTAAAGTGTTCCTACGTCGACAAAAATAAAAAAA